CCTGCCGCTGCTGCCCTCGGGGTGCAGGCGCGGCTCGGCGGCGGCGCCCCCGGCCGGCGGCTGGCTCATGGCGGCGGCTGCATCCGCGGCGCCCTGCGGGGGACAGGGAGGTCGGGGTCGGGGTCGGCCCCGCTCTGCCGGCCCCAGCGCCCCGCACCTCGACCCCGAGCGGCCCCGGGCCGGGCAGGCCCATGGCTGGTCTCGGCCTGACGTGGGGCTGCGCTCCCGTGGCCCTGCACAGCGCCCGGCCCTGGCGCAGAGGGGCTGCCAGCCCTCCCCGCCACACGCTGCTTTCGCCTCCCTCCTGGCGCCCGCTGCCTTCTTGCTCGCCCTGGCTCCTGACCCAAGCGCCCGGCTGCGCTGCCCGGCGCCTGCGAGTGCCCCCCGCTGCCCCCGGCCCCTCCAAGGCCCCGCGGAGGCGACTTTCACAGCAGAGCGTGACAGTGGTTGGGCTGGGGGGTCAGGCGGCCTCCACACAGGGATCAGGGGCCGTAAGGGGAAGCGAACAGAAGACAGGCACTCTCCAAATCAACTTCCAAGCCCAAATTTGCAATAATTTTTTTTATAGAGGCATTGCCAGGTCTTAAGACTGTTATGCTGACACGGGAGTGAGGCATATTCACTCTTTCAAAGCACTTTCAAAGCAGAGGAGGTAAAGAGCAGTAYGCCCTGCGACTGGGTGTCCTGTGGCCGCATCCAGGGGTGCTCAGGTGATGATTTTCCCTCATTCTGGCAAAGCCAGAGCTTCCAAGGTCATAACAGACTGTTAAAAGGGGGTTGTTCAATGCCTTATCACACCAGAAAAATGCTTCTTACAAGCTTACTTTTCTTATTCAGAAAATAATGGCTGTCATTCATAAGCTGTTTTCACATAGCCTTTAACTGAATGTCCTCAAAAGAAAAATGTGGACAGAAGCAGGAATTACAGCAACCCCAGCATGGCCTAATGATCTGAAATCAACTGCAGCTCTGGGCCAAAACGGAATAAAGAAACCCAGCAGAGCAAGGTGAGCCCATGCCCAAATAGCTGGTTCGTCCCCAGAACATCCTTGGTGACAATGACACTAGAGCTACCCTGGCTCAGTGCCAGGGCACAGGGTTTCCCATCAAATGCACTGTCATCCATCACGCTGCTCTTAACCACTGCTCTGAAAGTGAACACTCAGATGAATCCAATTTGGCAGAAGCTTCCCAGGCAAAGAAAGGGGAGTGTGGGAGAGGAAATTTCTCAGAACCTATGCCGGTATCATGACACCTTATGAAAGATCTAGTGTACATTGATTACCACAATCTCCAAACTGCTGTTGTTCAGAGCTATACAGATACAAAATCTCAATATTGAATTCCAGACCTTAAAAAAGGAAAAAGAAAAAAAGAAAAAAAAAAAAAAAAGAAGAAAGAAAAAAGAAAGACTTGCATGGATTCTGTACCTTATTCTTATGATTTCTAGCTGTTGTTCAAAATTAAATTAAAGGGCAACCCTGCGCTCTGCCTGTGTCTCCTGGTGAAGTTTCACCTCAGCAAAGTCCCCAGATCTGTCAGCAATGAGACCTGAACCTTGGGTGCCCCTGACACCAGCTCCTGCTACCGCCTGCAGCGCAGTTGCCTGGGATTTGGGGGGAACGGGAAAGGGGGGATAGTTTTGTTTTCAATGSCAGGATCAGATCCCTGTCCTTACAAAACTCCAACACAATCTCCTCTCCAGAGGCAAAAAAACCCACGTGGCGTTTCTAGGAGGCGACAGGACAGTTGCGCCTCTGCAGGCTGGGAGCAGCTGCCAAGGCGAGGAAAAAAAAAAAAACAGAAAAGAAAAGAAAAAGAAAGAAAGAAAAAAAGAAATAAAGAAAGAAAATAGGGGAGGGGGGAAAAGAAAGAAAATCAAAAAGACAGGATCCAAAAGAAGGGTGATAACGGGTGGCAGCAGCGGGGAGCCCCGCGGCTCCGCCCGCCGGCGCCGCCGTCCCGCTCGCCCCGGCCGCGGCCCCGGCCCCGGCTCCGGCCTCCGCAGCCTCTTGCCCGGCTGTTAGGGGCGCGGGGGGCCGTTTCGCCGCTGCCCCTTGCTCTTCGCGAGGCTCCGCTGGCCGCGCTTCCCGGCTAGCGCTCCCTTTCCCCAAGGAAGAGCGCCGGGAATGAGGATCAGCCGCATTACTCACCAGCACTTTCGTCTGCCGCCGGGCCGGCGGGAAGCACGCGCGGCGGGAGCGGCGGGAGCGGCGCCCAGCGCCGCCGGAGCCTCCCAGGGAAATGAGGCGATGCTCAGGAGCTGACCTCACCGGCGGGCCTGGGCGGCGGGAGGCAGGCAGCGAGCGAGGGAGGGAAGAGAAAAGCAGGGATCAAGCGGCGAGAACCCCGCCCAGGCCCGGCGGGGAGCGGCGGCCCCTTCCCCTCGCGTGCCGGGCACGGGCTGCTCCCGAGGGATGCGCCCTCCTATTCCTCGCGCTGCCCCGCAGCCATCGGTTCCCGTCGATGCTGCCGGGTGGGATCCGGCACGGCGCGGGTCGGGCTGGGCGGCGGAGCCGGCGCCGCCGCCGCTCCCTTTGTGCCGCTCCCCGCCCGCGCTCGGGAACAAAGGCGAGCGCGGCCCCGCGGCGAGCGCGGCCCCCTGGCGAGGCACATATCCCGGGATAACGGCAAAAGCGGGGAAAGTCGTATCTCTAACCYGGAGGGGCTTGTGCCGTGCACCCACCGGGGTGTGCGCGTGCCTGTGTGAAAGGTACGGGGAGCCGGACACAGCTCCAGCTCGGGGCTGGGGGATCCGGGCTGGGAAACCCSCCTTGGGGTGATAATCTGCGGATTTGGAGCCCGAGGGTGCAGGGATGGGGGGCACAAAGTTTGCACCTGGTGCATGGGGAGCAGGGCAGCATGTACCGTGGTGGGCGCCGAGACCCAGGAGGACACCCATCTTATGTGTGGGTACACTGATAACCATGCCATGGATGTTGGCATATATAGATTATATATATACATATACATGCATTTATTTGTGTATATGTGTGTATACATATACATCTGTACATGAATTTATTTGTGTATACATTTATTTTGTGTGCACAAATACACTGCACGTACACATCGTATATGTGTTTTCCTACATGCATGCACACATACGTATATGAATATATTCGTATGCACATATATGCCTCCATGTGTATGTGTGTGTATGCTTGATCCACAGGGAAATGTCCATGTGGTGGCCCAGGGGTAGAATGACTGGTGGCACCTTCTCCAGCAGCCCCTGCCCCACAGCCCTTCCTCACCACCTCAACCTCTTCTGGTATGACCCAACACACAGGAAAAATCCTGCCTCTGAGTCTGAGGTGTGGAAAGATCCTCCTCCTGTTCGCATGTCCTTCAGCTTTGAGGCCAGGGACTGTGCAAAGTGGATATATATAGATGTGATGAGTTGAGGATAGTCAGAAAAGAGGAGATGGAATAATTATGCTGAAGAAGAAAAACACTGGGATGATGAAAGGCTACTTTTTAAATTCGTCATATTTAGTAATTTAAATTAAGCTTTTGAAAGCTACCATAAGTGGAGCCTGCAATCACATCAACTAAACAGACTAAGTGGTTGAAATATGAGAAGTGAAAACACAAAATACTTCTTGAGATGGATCTAAGAAATAAATCCAGTATGGGATAGCATTCCTAAGAAAATGGTGGATAGACATTGCTAGAAAAGACCTATAGTCCTTGTCTTAGTGAATATGGAGAATAGCAACAGTACCATAAGATTGGTCATTACAAAATCCTCCAGAAGGATAAGCACAGCAATCCTTACCCTAGAGCACTGAAAAGCAGTTGTCATCTTYTCTGCTCCCTCAGTCTTGTCACAATGGCCTTTCTATTCTAAAATAAAAATGAGAAGCAGTAACATCTTTACTGTCTACAAAGAGTTTGATTGTGCTGTTGGAAACMTACAGATCCCTAGTGTTCAAATGGAAGCCAGGTCATCAGATTATCTTCAGGCATCTCGTCAAGCTTTATATCTGATATCACAGGCCACTCTTACACCAGAATTATTTTGCCTTTATCTTGGCATCACTTGGTATGGTTAATATACAATATTTCTATTTTGAATGAAACTCCCATGATGACAGTTATTAAAACTGACACAGGCATAAAAATGTTTTATTCATATTGTTTACTATTTGGAACAATGGATATAATCTAAACTAAAGCATCCTTTTTCTGTTAAATGCTGTATTTCCATTAAGAGGGTTTGTTGCTAGATCTTTGCAGGTGTTTTACAGGATCAACAGTATTTTCTAGGTAGATGTGACTACATCTACTCTAGAATTAGTCCAAGGGACAGACATCTACTACATTTTTTCTTCTATCATAAAGATAAATGTTAATACAGTAAAAATTCCATTTATGACCAGATTTTGCTCCAGGTTTTCTAGAAAGCAAGCTGTGGAAGGAAGTGATACACAGAAAAGAACATCT